TCGCGAACCCGTACCTCGGCGGGTCCAATCGGCGCTGGGACATCGGACGCCCTTGCTGGGGTTCACTTGGCCACGTGGCGTCTCAGAAACCTCGCCTGCAGGGGCAGGGTCCGCATGTGGATCTTGCTTGCCTGTGATCTTCACCCCGAGGACCTCGACGTGGCCCACGATGGTGGTGGGCTCGATGCCTCTGTCGCGCGTGGCCCGCCGACCCTCGGGGTTCCTGTGCGCCCGCTGGGTCTCTGTGTGATCTTCCTGCAGCGGCGGTGCCGCCACCTCTTGGTGCGCGCGCTGCCGCTCGACAGGCTGGAGGCTGGAGCGCGGGAGCCTCCCGAGGTGCTCGTGGCGGGCCGCTTGGGCGTGGGCCGCTCTCGGCGGCGCTCCGGGGCTGCAGGCGCTCGCGGGCGGGAGTCCCGCGGGCCTCCGCATCACGGTGGGCGAGTTTGTTTTTTCCTCGAGGAGCCCCCGCGCGGTCGGAGGAGGGCAAGGTACCCTTCCCTCGTTTTCGCAATTTTGGGCCTCCTGGGAGGCCCTCGTCGCCACCGTTGGATTCGCCTTGAAATTCTGGTCAGGACGCACCCCGGGAGCAGGCGTGCACCATGGCCGCGACCCGGCGCCAAGCGAGCGATGGAAGATCACGGGGTCGACAGCGCCGACGTTGGCGCGTGAGCTTCCCGCGTCAGGCCGCGCGTCAGCGCGTCAGCGCCTTCGTTTCCAATGCAGTGTGCCACGCTGGCGGCCCGCGTACGCCGCGCCGTAAGCTCACAGAATCATCTCGCGTAGGGCCCGTTTCTTCGCGTCGCCCAGTGGCTGCGCTTGTGGCCGCCCGCGTCCTGCACGCCGGCTGCCTGCAGGACCTCGCCCTGGCGGCCGCGGCGCCCCCTCCTCTGCCGAGAGCGCTGCGCGCCACCGCGGCCTGCTCCTCGAGCCCGCGGCGGAGGCGGCCGCAGCGGTGGGCGTCGATGGCATCCGCTGCGGCCGCCTGCAGAACCTCGCCCTGGGCCTGCCCTGGCGGCCGCAGCGCCCTCCTCCTCTGCCCTGGGGCCCCCATCGCGAGGGGCTCGCGCGGCGGGACGCCGAGAGCCCGACGCCCGCCCGCCGGCCTGCCGCCGCCGCCGCCCGTCGCTCCCCCTCCTGGAAGCCTTGGCGCGCCGCCGCCGCAGTCGCCGTCGTCGTCGTCGCCGCCGCCGTCGTCGCCGCCGTCGTCGTCGTCGCCGTCGCCGTCGCCGTCGCCGTCGTCGTCGCCGTCGCCGCCGTCGCCGCCGCCGCCGTCGTCGTTGCCGTCGTCGTCGTCGGCGGCGGCGGCGGCGGCGGCGTCGCGGCCGGCAGGCCGCCGGCGCGCCCGCCGACGGCCCCACGGCGCGGCAGCGTGCGCGCGCAGGGCGCGCGCGGGGCTCCGCGGCGGTGCGCATCGCGCAGCGCGCGCGCGGTCGCTGGCGGCCGCCGCTGCGCCGCCCGCAGGAGCCCGCGCCTGCCCTGCCGCCGGGCCGCGCCGCCGCTGCCGCCGCGGGCGTCGCCGCCATGGCCGCCGCCGCCGCCATCGTCGCCGCCGCCGCGGTCGCCGCCGCGGTCGCCGCCGTCGCCGCCGCCGTCGCCGTCGGCGGCGTCGTCGCCGTCGGCGCCGTCGTCGCCCTTGCCGTGGCCGCCGCCGTCGCCGCCGTCGTGGTCGCCCCCGCCGCCGTCGTCGTTGCTGTTTTTGTCGTCGCCGCCGTCCTCCTGAGCTTGTGCTGCTCGTCCTCCCATTCCCCCTGCTATTCCTCATATGCCTTCTGGTCTCCTCCCTGCTCCTTCTGCTCCTTCTGCGCCTACTGCTTCTCCTTCTCCCTCTCCCTCCCTCTCTACTTGCGGATTCTTGTGCCTTCCCCTCGCCCCCTTAAGCTTTTTCCCTTCCCCGTCCCCCCTTCACCTTTCCCCTTTTCTTACCCTCTTGCCATTCCCCTCGTGCTTCCACTTGCCCTTGCTTGCCCACTTCCTTATGCCCCTTCTCGTCCCTGCCTTTTCTCTTTTACCATTGCCCATACCCTTGCCATTGTCATTCGGCTTACCTACTCGTCCTGAATCCTCATCGTCATTCTCACTGTTCATGCTTAGCCATTGGCCATGCCTAGCGTTCTCATGTTCGGCCGTGTTCTTGACATTGTTCCTGTTATGTGTATTTGTTTTGCTCTTGCCCGAGCCCTTCTTCGTTGTTCACGCCCTTGCTCTTGCTGTTCTTATCGCCATGGATATGCTATTCAGTTTTTTTTGCTGTTTCGCATTCTCCTTCTCATCGTCGTGGTCCGCACACGTGGAATGCAGATGACGCGTACGTACCTGCGCTTCACGGGGTGGCTCCTCCTGCAGCGCAGAATCGGGGAAGGAGAGGAGGCTGGAGGGAGAGGGTGGGGGAGAGGGCGATGCAGAGAGACGACGGGAGGGGAGCCGGAGGAGCTGTGGGAGGAATGGGGGGGGCGAGGGGACGAGAGGGAGGGAGGGAGAGGGTCAGGGGGGCAGAGGGGCACCTCTTCGCCCCCCCCCCCCCTCGGCGCTCTCCTCGGCGGCGCCGCGCGAGTCCGCCCGCGCCGCCCCCCTCCGGCGGCCGCGCCTCCCCGGGCCCCCCGCGCCGCCCGCAAGCGCTCGCCCGTGATCGCCGCGGCGGGCGGGCGTCGCCGAGCGCGGTCCGCTTCTCGCAACGTGCCCGCTCGCAAGCGCCGGAGAGCAGCCAGAGCGTGGCTTCCTCTGCGTGTGGTGCATCGTGGATCCCCCGCGGCGGACCCAGGCCACCTGCGGGCAGCCACCCCGCGAGCAGCGGAGCGCGCCTGTCGAGGGGGCCTCTCCGCTTCCGCCCCCCCGGGGCTCTCGCCCCCGATTTTAGCCTTCCCAGACGGGGTGCCGGTGGATGGGGCCGGAAAACCGGGCCGCCTCGCCGACGCGGCGGCGGTGCGGCCCGATGTGGAGCCCGATCGATTCCCTCCACGCCACGCAGATGGCGCCGAGGCATCGCCGAGGCATCGCCGATGCATCGCCGATGCGCCGGCGATGTGTCGCCGATACATCGGCGACTAGGCGCGATCCTCCGATAGGGGGCCAGATGCGAACCCTACCCCTACCCCCCACGATTTCTGAGGGCGAGGGTGGGGTTCACTTCGTCTGGGAGCTCCCGAGCGAAGTGAACCCCACCCTCCCCCTCAGAAATCGTGGGGGGTAGGGGTAGGGTTCGCATCTGGCCCCCTATCCGACCCCATCTGTCGCCAGTCTGAGTGCCCCGACGCGCGGCCATGCGTCTTGGAGAGAGCGCCGCGGGCGCCAGGGCACTTCCGCCTCGGGCGCAGGGCTCGCCGTGGGGTCTGCCGCGGCGCCGGCCTCGCCGCCTTGCGCGCGGGGCGCAGAGCCTGCCGTGGGCTTGCCGTGGTGTCGGTGTCCCCCACTTCCCTGAGATCCGACGTTGCAGAAAGAGTGCGACACCGCAAAAAGCACGACCCGGAGCCCCGGACCCTATCTTTCTGCGTCACTTTTCGAGCTTGATCGACGTGTGAGACTCCCGGGGTCCGAAATTGAGCGAAAACGCCCGGCGCGAAAAGATTACAACGCCAGGGTCTCAGGGTTGGGCGCGTCGAGAACGAACGGGGCGGCGACACCTACTCGGACCCCATCAGGGGGGCCTCCATCCTTGGCCTCCGCCCTCGCAGCCGTTCGGCCCCGGCCATGGCGAGCGGCGCCGCCGCCCCGGCGCAGGCCGCCCTGGACGAGCCGCAGGCGCAGCGGGCGCCGTGCGCGGGTGACCTGGAGGCCCGCGGGGCGGCGGGGGGGGCGCCCCGCAGGCGGGAAGGAGGAGGTCGCAGGGAGGAGGAGGAGGAGGAGGAGGAGGAGGAGGAGGAGGAGGAGGAGAGGAGGAGGAGGAGGAGGAGGAGGAGGAGGAGGAGAGAGGAGGAGAGGAGGAGGAGGAGGGAGGAGGAGGAGGAGGAGGAGAGGAGGAGGAGGAGGAGGAGGAGGAGGAGGAGGAGGGAGAAGGAGGAGGAGGAGGAGGAGGAGGAGGAGGAGGAGGAGTAGGAGGAGAGGAGGAGGAGGAGGAGGAGGAGCTGGCTTGAGGATGCTTCGGGCTTTCTGTCCACAGGTCCTGTGTGCGGACGAAGGGCGGTTCTCCGTCAGAGGGGGTCTCTCGCCCGAGGAGTCCTCCGAGTCGGTGTCCACCGGCCCAGCGTAACAACAGGTGCGCGGATGGAGGTCGACCTTGCTTCAAAAACAGGGCTCTTGCTTCACCCTCTCTCTGGAGCTGTATGGCAAGTTTTCTTGTTATGTCTAGATATCTGGTATTACACACATGTATGTATGTATGTATGTAGGTAGGTAGGTATGTATGTATGTATGTATGTGTGTATGTATGTATGTATGTATGTATGTATGTATGTATGTATGCATGCATGCATGCATGCATGCATGCGTGCATGCATGCTGCATGCATGCATGCATGTATGTATGTATGTATGTATGTATGTGTATGTATGTATGTATGTATATTTATATATTCAAGGCATCTACAACATGTGTTGTATGTATGTATATATGTATATATGTATGTATGTGCATGCATGCATGCATGCATGCATGTATGTATGTAGTATGTATGTATGTATGTATGTATGTATGTATGTATGTATGTATGTATGTATGTATGTATGTATGTATGTATGTATGTATGTATGTATGTATGTATATATATATGTGGAGGTCTGTATATTTGTATTACTTTTCACATGTTTTTTACAGCCAGAAGCTGGACGGATGGAGGGTGGCGCCTGTCTTGACGCGGGGCTCGCGCCTGACCGGCAGGCCCTCGGGGTGCTCGTCTCTTTCAAAGGGGCGCCGCCCGTGGCGAACAGCAGTGCTCGTAGGGGGCTCGTGCGGCGGGGTCCGGGGGGCGGCAGGGTGCATTTCAGCATCGTTGATGCATCCTCCTCGTCCTCCTCCTCCTCCTCGTCCTCCCTCCTCGTCCCCTCCTCCCCCGTCCCCTCCTCCCTCTCCTCCTCCTCTCCTTCCTCCTCCTCCTCCCTCCTCCTCCTCCTCCTCCTCCTCCCTCCTCCTCCTCCTCCTCCTCCTCCTCCCCCTCCTCCCCCTCCTCCCCCGTGCTCCCGCTGCCGTCCACGGATGGAGCTGGAGAGCGTGCTGCGGAGGTGCGCGCCAGACGTGCGGGGCTGCACGGGCGGGGTGCAGCCACGGTCCCCGCACGGAGCGGAGCTCCCGCGTGGAGCATTCCGAGGGTCTGGTGCGCAAGTGAGCTGGGCTGCCTTGGTGGCCTGCTCCCTCGCGCGGGGCCTCTTTGAGAGCCGGGGCTTCTTCTTCTTCTTCTTCTTCTTGTTCTCCCTCCTCGCTCGTTCGCCTCGGGTTGTTGCCCTCGTCGCGCACACTATCGCTGCCTGTTCGACGTTCGGCCCGTCGAGCGTGGTCGCGTCGTTGTCGCAGCCAGCCCCAGCGTGGCCCCTTTGTCGTCGCCTGGCCGGGAGCCAGGAGTCGATAACAGTTGCCAGCTCACCGACCGCTGGGAAGGTGTACCCAACGACGACGGTTTCGGCCAACGGTGGAGGGGAAGAGGAAGACGGTCGCGGTCACTTGACAGTCAGCTCCGTCTCTGAGATCAGACGTGTTGCGAAGCGCATGCAGCATCGCGAAAAATCACAGCTGGAGCCATCGACCCCATCGTTCTACTGCCTTTTCCGAGCCGGATCGATCTGGGATGGCCCTGGGGCCCGAGGCTGGGCGAAGACGCCCAGGGTGAAAAAAGGGCGCCGCCCGTTGGCCTGCCCGTGGCGCGCTGAACTGTGGCGCTCCGCGCTTTTCCGGAGGGCACCAACTATACACCAACACCGATCCTGGCCCAGGATCACCCTGGGCCCAGGATCGGTGTATATGCCTTCTTGCGCAAGGCAGGAGGGCGTATACACCGATCCTGGGCCCGGGGTGATCCTGGCCAGGATCGGTGTTGGTGTATAGTTTGTGCCTTCCTACTTTTCTGTCGGGCATTGAGTTGAGAGAACACCTACCCAGACAAGGCGACTGAGGAACTCTGCGTGGATTCGCCTGACGTGGGCACGAGAGTGTGCTGGTGCAGTCCCCAGTCGGCTTCGCCAGTCGACGTGCGTCTCGCCGGACACACTCGGCTGTTTTCGGGCGTCGTTTCGCTACCCCGCTGGGGTCCACTCGGAATGCGGTGCCGTGCGCACGTGGAGTGGGGAAGGGAGGATCGGCTGTGTGGATGATGATGCGCGCGTGCTTGGCGGCCCAGTGTCTCCGCCCGCGCTGCGTTGCAGGGCACTTGTCAATACCCAAGTGTGCCCCTTGACCGTTTCACCTCTTTCTTTTCTTCGCGTCCGAACGGCGCCTTCGGACGGCCCCCAGGCGGAATCCCAAACAAACAACACGTGTTCTTATCTATTGTTTTGCCGGTCGGCGCGGGCTCTCGCACCCCCCCTCCCCCCCTCCATATGGAGTAGATCTTGGCTGTTTTGGGCGCTTGTTTTGAGCAGGTGGGGTCTCCCCCATGGGACGCACGGCCGCAGACAGTCGCACTAAACAGAGGCCCAGAGCCAGACCCCCCTTCCCCCCCCCCGCCTGCCCCCTGTCGAAACGCCGAATGAGAAAGGGCCGAACGAAAGGGGGGGATCGGGAAATGAGGGGGTTACAAAATCTGCTGCAAGCAGCTGGTTTCGGCCCCGCCGCCGGGCCCATTCCTCGATACATGGGCGCCTCCCGGCGCCGGGAGGCGCCGGGAAAATCAGCTACGTGAACTGATTCTCTACCCTACCCTTTGCTATCCCCCCCTTCCGCCCCCTGTCGAAACGCCGAATGAGAAAACGTTCATATGCCGAGTGCCCCCGGCAGCCTCCGCTCAAGTGTTGTGGAAGTCGATTAATGGAGAGGAAGCATGGTGCCAGATGTCTAAAACATGATTCAAGCATGTTTAAACTATGTAAGAACATGTTTGAAACGTTTTTAGAACATCTTTTAAAGAACACATTTTAAGCACCTCTTTAATTCAACGGTAGAAGTTGTTAGAGTGTCCATTGTCGTGGCATCCACAACTCGAGGGCGTTCTGCCAGACGGAGCCCCCCCGCGGCGCCGCGGCTCCTGGCGGCCGCAGGCCCAGACGGCCAGCAGGCTGGTCGGCGTCGAGGAGCTGCTCCGCAGGGTGAGCTCCCGGCTGGAGGCCTTCGAGGCCAACCTCGCGGGGCTCGGCCCAAGCCTTCGAGGCCGCAGGGCGGGCGCCGCTGTCGTTGCCGTTGTCGTCGTCGTCGTCGTCGTCGTCGTCGTCGTCGTCGTCGTCGTCGATGTCGATAATCGATGTCGATGGCGATGGCGATGGCGTCTTCGTCGTCGTCGTCGTCGTCGTCGTCGTCGTCGTCGTCGTCGTCGTCGTTGTCGTCGTCGTCGTCGTCACCAGAAGATGGGCTGGATGGGTGAGGAGGGTGCGGAGGAGGAGGGCGAGGAGGAGGAGGAGGGCGAGGAGGAGGAGGAGGAGGAGGAGGAGGAGGGGGAGGTGGAGGACCCAGGCATCCAGCGCCGCAGCAAGATCGTGGCGGCAGCGTTTTTTTTTATCCCTTCCACCGTCGGCCACTGGAGGCCCGTGTGGGGCCCCGAACGCCAGGATCTTAGGGATGAAAACCGTTCCAGGGGCAGGGCCCCGGAGGATCTATGCAGGCCTGCTTCACGAACATATCCGTGACGTCGGGTGCCTCGGGGGAGGTGGAAGGGAGAGAAGCAAAGGCGGGGTGGCCCGACGGACGCGTCCTGGCCACCATGGGGTTCGGAGAAGGAGGAGGAGGATAACCGTAATGACCGTAATGATGATGATGATGACGATGATGACGATAATGACGATGATGATGATGATGATGATGATGATGATGATGATGATGATGATGATGATGATGATGATGATGATGATGATGATGATGATGATGATGATGATGATGATGATGATGATGATGATGATGATGATGATGATGATGATGATGATGATGATGATGATGATGATGATGACGACGACGATGACGATGATGATGATGATGATGATGATGATGATGATGATGATGATGATGGGGATGATGATGCTGCTGATGCTGATGCTGATGCTGATGCTGATGCTGACGATGATGATGCTGATGCTGATGCTGACGATGATGATGCTGATGATGATGATGATGCTGCTGATGATGATAGCGATTGTGATTGTGATGGTGATGGTGGTGATGATGATGATGATGACGACGATGCTCGTGTTTTTGTGATTGTCGTGATTGTTGTGGTTGTGGTTGTTGTTACTGCTGTTGTTGTTGCTGTTGCTGTTGTTGTTGATGATGATGATGATGATGATGGTGGTGAGTATACTGATGTTGATGATGCTCCTGTTGTTGTTGATGATGATGATGATGATGGTGATGATGGTAATGACGCTGATGATGAGGAGGAGTAGGAGTAGGAGTAGGAGGAGGAGGAGTAGGAAGAGGAAGAGGAGGAGGAGATGGGGGAGGAGGAGGAGGAGGACATGGAGGAGGAGGGGGAAGAGGAGTAGACGGGAAAGCGAGATGAGGATTGTTTCGTGCCGTCTTCTTTCTCTTGGTATTCCTCTTCCTCCTCTTCCTTCTGTAGGCGTTTCGTTCTGCTCGTCCATGCCCATTTTGCGAGCAACTCAAGCTCGCCTGGGGCAAACCAGAAAGTTAGACGAGCCTCTCCACGGATTGTCATCCCCATGTTCTTTCGCTTGCCCGCCCCTGCAAATCGGACTCTGCTTTCGCGCAATGTCACGTTTTTGTGGTTGAGGTCTCCCGACGAACTCGTAATGCTAATGAGCGAATGTGCGCTATGTTTACGAGCATCAGCAGAAGCCGGCCGCTCATGTGTTTTCGTGGGCCCGTGGCCACTCCCAGCAAAATCGAGGGACTTCGTTGCCGTGGGGTTCTCGCGCTCTTTCCCCTTCTTGACTGGCAGTGAATTTAGTGGCGAGTCCATGTTCTCCTCCTACGTTCAGGATCGCTTAACCGATCCCCATCCGCATCCTCATCCCCTTCGCGACCCCCACCAAATTACCGCCCCAGTTGGGGAACAAAAACCCTCGAAGCCCGAAGGGAACGGCCTATATGTCCCCATCCAGGGGGGTGGATCGGCCAGTGGGGCCCAGGCCGCGCCGCTGGGGATGGGGGTCGGATCAACGATGCTCATGACGAGCGAACAACTCACACCCATACCCATAGGAGGGTCGAAAGGAAGGGAACTGGCTATGGGTATGGGTGCGAGTTGTCGGACCCTGGGGGAAGCTCCTGTTCGAGCGGGGACCCCCATCCGACAACACGCACCCATAGCCTCCTCCGTCCCCCCTATGGGTATGGGTGCGTTTTGTTCGATCGTCATGCTCATACGTCCTCTCCTGGAAGGCCCAAGACGCTCCCCGAGGCCACCGCGGCGACACGATAGAGAGCTTGCATGGGGGCCACGGGGTGCCCCCCCCCCTAAGACGGCCCCGAGCGGCCCCGACGAGAGCTCCGGGGAGGAGGAGGAGGAGGAGGAGGAGGCGGAGGAGGCGGAGGAGGCGGAGGCGGAGGAGGCGGAGGAGGAGGAGGAGGAGGAGGCGGAGGAGGAGGAGGAGGAGGAGGAGGAGGAGGAGGAGGAGGAGGAGGGGGGTCGAGGAGGGCCCGAGAGGGCCGCACGAGGCCCCGAAGGCAGCCGACGGCTTCCCAAGATGCCCTGGGAGCGCCGGCTCCCATGTGTCCGACGCCGGCGCCCTTCTCTCCGACTCCGGCTCCCAACTTTCCGACTCCAGCGTCCATCTCTCCGGCTCCGGCTCCGACTCGTCTCCTGAGGGGCCCCGGCCCCCCCGCGCTGCCCTCCTAGGGCCGGTCCCCCGCCGGACCGACATCGCGCGCTCGCCTCGCCTCGCCGAGAGGGTCGAAGGGGGCCCGAGAGGGCCGCACGAGGCCCCGAAGGCAACCGCGGCGGCTGCCTCCCAAGAGGCCCTGGCGACGCCCCGCGGCAGCCCGGGAGAGGCCAGAGGCGCCTCCCCCCCCCTCCAAAGAGGAGTCCAGAGGCCGTCCATCGGCAGCTCTCGCACGGCCAGCAGCACAGTCGGGGCCCTGAAGAAGGAGCCCTGTTCGTTGGGGAGGGGCTCCTCGGGGGCCGTCTGGGGGGGCACCCCGTGGCGCTCTGGAAGCTCTCTCTCGTGTCGCCGCGGTGGCCTCGGGGAGCGGCTTGGGCCTGCCAGGAGAGGACGTATGAGCATCCCAGACCCCCTCGAGTGATGAAAGAAAAAATCAGAACGGGAGGTTTTTCCTAATTTTCGGCCTCCAGGGGCCCTCACCGGGCCTCGGGAGCGTCAAAAAACGACTCAGGATGCAAAGCCGGTCATGGGGAAAGGGTCGGGACCTCTGGGGGTCGACGTAACGAAAAAATCATTATGTCGGGGGTCTGGGGTAGCAGAACCAGCGGCAGTTTGGTAAAACTCGCCGGCCCAAAGGGCCAGAGGCGTGCTAAGCTCCACGGTGGCAGGTTTAGAATAGTTCCAGTTCGCGCGCGCGGGGCCGCCCCTGCGGGTCCTCGGACGAAAAGTACCCGGGGCGACTCCCGGCAAGGTGGTCTCAAGGACGGCAGAACTCCCGGGGGCGCTTTTCGGCGCCCCCAAGACTGCCCCAGGAGCGCCCCAAGAGACGCCAAGGGAGCTTCAAGAGGGCCCAAGAGTCGGGATCAATGGGTGGTACGTCTCAAGATGGCCCGAACATGATCCCAAGATGTCTCAAGATAGGCCCAAGATGGTCCCGGACAAGCCCAAGAGGGCCTTCCGCGACCCTCCAATAAGGCCTCAAGAAGCAAACACTGATACATTTCAGTTGAACGACGTATCTTTCTAGTTGCTTTTTGCATCCAAGACGACCCTAGAGATATTAAAGATCGCCCCACGACGACCCAGAAGGCTCCCAGATGGCCCGGATAGGGCCCCGAGAAGGCACCCAAGCGGCCTCTGCGAGGCCCAAGGGGCCCAGAGATCCCCCAAAATGCCCCCAGGGAGCCTCCCAAGATGCCCCCGGGGAGCCTCCCAAGAGACCCCAAGTAGTCCCAAGAGCTCCCAAGACACCCGAAGTAGTCCCCTGCAGGCCCCCAAGACACCCCCAAAGTAGACTTCTGCAGGCCCCGAGAGATCCCCCAAAGACCTCCGAAACGCCCCGAGGGGCCCCAAGAGGCCCCCAAAGGCTCCCGAAACCTTTGCCAGAGGCGCCAGGGGGCCGCAAAAATACCACCCAGAGGCCTCCGATAAGCCTCCCAAGAGAACCAAGCGGCCCTCCAGAAAAGCATCTGAACGCAAACTCGGCCCCGAGGCTCTTTCTCCTACTCCCCGTCCTCCTCCTCCTCCTCCTCCTCCTCCTCCTCCTCCTCCTAATCGCCCTGAAGCTGCTCCACGAGAGCTGCTTCAGCCCAAACATTCACCATTCCGAACGCAACGACTCAGCTCCACACTGCAAACGACCGACCACTCGGCCAGCCGACAGCGATGCGGCAATATGGGTCGGCGGAATGAATGAAGCGATTCAATGAGCCGTCATGAACAGGCCTTCGCACAGGAGACTTCCAGACGCCTCCAGGCGCCGTTCGGGACCTCTCCGGAAAATTCTCCTGGCCAGTCTTCGGAGCCTCTTGGAGCCTTCTTGGGTTCCTTGGGCCCCTCATTGGGGCCCTCCGGGGCCGTCTCGGACCCCTCCGAAGCCCTTTTCGGGGCATGCTGCGCCGAAAAACTAAGGAAGCCAAAAACCTCCAACAACACAAGGTGTTTGGATGATTTTCGCTGTTTCGGCCTCCTCTTTGCGCCTCTTTGAGCTCTCTTGCAGCATCTTGCGCCACTCTCGGGGCCTCTCCGGCCACGTTGGAATCTCTACAGGGCTTCCCGGGCCGTTCTGAAGGTCTCCCGGACCCATCTTCGGCCGTCTGGGCGCCCTTTTGGAGCCTTCTTGGGCCGTCTTCGCCGCGCCCAGGGGCCCCTGGAGAGCCTTCTGAGGCCCCCCAAAACTCGTCGGAGTGCTCCTTTCTGCCTCTCCGTATCCCTCGTCGGCTCGCTCCGCCGTTTTCGGCACAGTCGGGTGCCTTTTTGGGCCGTGCTCCGAGCCTGTTCGGGCGCTTTGGTGACCTTCTTGGGCCCTTCTCCGCGTCTGTTTCGACCCTGGGTGTTAGTTCGTCGACTTCGACACCGCCTGGTTCCGAGGCTTTGCCTCGTCCCGGCCTCGTTCTGCGGCTGCGCCCCCCTTCTCCTCCCCCTTCCTCTGCCTAATTGAAGCTCCGCGCGGCCCGCTTAGCTTCGGCCGGAAGAGGTGCGCTCTCGACCCGCGGATCAAAACTGTGTCGACCCTGGGGGGCCGTCTCCCCTCGTTTCTCCTCCTCCTTCTCTCCTCCTCCTCCTCCTCCTCCTCCTCCTCCTCCTCCTCCTCCTCCTCCTCCCCCTCCTCCTCCTCCCCCTCCTCCTCCTCCTCCTCCCCCTCCCCCTCCCCCC